TTAATATAATATTTAGTAATTGTTAAAAGTTCAATATTTTGTCACTGTTTTTATGTAAGAGTTTATACAACCTTAACAAATTAGGATAGGATTTCTTTTAATTATTAGCTGCAGAATTTTATTATATTATTCAAATTCGCACTTTTTACAGAAAATTTCTTTTTATTATTTTTTTCACAGGGCATTTAATTGTATACGTTTAGCGTTAAGAACTCAGTATCATTTTTTTTTATTATTCGCTGTAAAGCTTTATTGCACTGTGCGAGTTCGTTGCACTAGCCCTAAAAAAGGGAAAGATTAAGAGACAGGGGAAAAATGTATAACAGGTAACGGCGGGGTCTTTGTAGTTTTTTCAACACACAACGATTCGAGGACTTCCGACACGTTTATGCGTAGAGGCAATCGATCTGAGGTTCTATTATTAAGCCAGACTCGATTATCCCGGACGATAATCTCGCGAAGTAGGCTAGCGTGTTTAATTATTTAATAATAGACCATCAATGAGTTTTATATTTTGATACGTGAAACCGTGTAGTCAATCTGCATACCGTGTATGCCGATCATATTTTTTGTACTGAAAACAATGGTCAATTTTTCTTGTAAATTCACAAGAACTTCCTTTAATGCGAGGACATCGTCTCTTTTAATTTAAGTCACGAATTTGTATATAACTTATAACTTTGTATGTACTGTTACGTCTGTACGTATGTGTAATGTTATAATTGTATGTATGTGTATTATTATAATTGTATAATTGTATGCACGTGTGATATTATATTTGTACATAATTGAATTCAAAAGTATTTAAAGAGTATCAAAGTTCGATATACATATGTATGTATATTTGTATCACAGTCTCCCGTTTTATCATCGTTGTTGTCTTCATCTTACAATTAGCCCGCAACATAAAAGAAGAGAGCTATCATTTGCATTACGAAGTCTCGTTAATTTTGTACGACACGTATTACGATTTTTTTTTTTTATAGTAATCATAACATTGCGTATCGGTGATGATAAGACGCTTCCGATCTTCTTTTAAGGGCTTCGTTTCAGGGATTACCTTCGACACTATCGTAGACACCTGCGATCTGCGTCTCACAATCACTTATGTAATTGGTGGGATTAAATGCAAAAGTTGCTGTTGTGCCAATTGAAAATCATGAAGCACTTTTTTGAGTAGTAAAATATTATTGGTAGCTTTACTTTAATGTTAAATAATTAACAATTAGGAAAACCGATACGCTTGTTGTAATAAAAAATGTTATTATGTATGCATAAGACAAATGAAAGGAATTATCTGATCATAATTGTTTCAATTTTTTAACTATATTTAGTGAAGTTCATTTTACTCTTTATTTCTTGGGATTCCAAACCGGAAGTGTTAATAAAAATGGCAACGAGCCTCCCCTTCCTTTGCATTTAATTCTGTCAAACCCGTCGCATGTATCGTTTTCATAAAATTGTATTAGATAATCTCAAAGACTCGACATTTTTCGTTAAATGTTGTTATGTCATAATTGGCTGACGTTTACAGTGAACGAAAGCGTGGCCGCGTTCCAACTGCGGCTGTGAACGTCGCGAGTCAGCTCCCAAACAGGCTTAACGA